GCAGTGGCAGTAGCAAGGTAGCAACAGCACTGCTCCATTTCCAATCCATCCCTCTCACTCTCTGTCTCTCTCTCTCATCCCCTCTTTCTTTTCTTCTCCCATCTAATCCGCGTCAACCTACCTACTTGCCTACCTTAGCTCCCGCTCTTATCTTCCTTTCCTCTCGTTTCTTTTCCGGTTCTTTTCTCCTGTTCTCCTTCCTCCAGATACCAAAAAGAACTCCATTTGTTGGAATCCCTTACATTCATTTTCTCCTTCGACTTCGGAGCTCCTCTCGCTATCCTGTCCTGTGAAACCGACTGATTCCGCACCCTGGCTTTGGTTGTGAAATTGCATTCATCTGTCCCGTGGTAGGCAGCGTCAATCGCGCCTTGGGGACGCTCGATCCAGAAATATTCGGATTCCAGCCCAACGGTCCATCATATCTTGATTCCTGTTTCCCTTTAATTTCGAGTTCGGCGACGCTTCCTTCCTCTTTGGTACAAAAAACTATGGCTCCTCCGCCGCGCTTGCGCATTTTATCAGGTTGGTATTCCAGCTCTTATCTGCTGCTCAAAATGAGCTTAATCTCTTCCCTACAACAATTCCCTATCACAAGCTTCAAATGAGACTTGGGTCCGGGATCTTCAAAAGACTTCCGCGACATCCGCTGCAACCCGAAATGAGCCCAAAGCTAACTCGAGCTTGTTTAGTCGGTAGTAATGCTATTTCGGCGTTCCTCTCCTGGCGACTTCAGGCTACGACTTCCTGCGATGTGACGCTTGTCTGGAAATCTGGATTCGAATCAGTATCTCAGTACGGAGTATCTTTCAAGTACGCTTCCTCTTGACCCGCCGTCTATTCGCTCAAAGCCGTTTTCTAACCGGGAAAATACACAGATCGAAAACGTTCGGCAATGAACGCTTCAAGCCACGTCATGGTAAGTTCTCTCATTGTGGCTTGTGTATCATTCGCAGTAAGCTTGCTAACATATACGTGCTTCACGCCGTAGTTGTTCGCGCTCCTGAAGAAGCCGCATCTCGAGAGAATGCATATGACTATGTCATTCTGTGCATCAAGGCACTGCCCGACGTCTACGACCTTGCATCCGTCATCGAGTCCGTCGTCACTCCTCAGCATACATGCATCCTCGTGAACACAACGAATACCCTAGGCGTAGAATCTCAATTGGAGCAGCGGTTCCCTACAAACGTGGTCCTCTCCCTTGTTTCCGGCGTGGAGATTTCGCAGACCGGGGCTAGTGAGTTCGAGCATTTGAATTCGTCGGACATCTGGGTCGGTGCAACGAGCAAGAATTCCAGCATCCCGGCATCCATTCAGAATGACATGGCTGCTGCTCTGGCAATGACTTTGAGCTCAGGACAGGTCAACTGCAAGGTGTCGGAAAACATTAGACAAGAACAGTTTGAGCGCATGATAGGGTGAGCATACCGGCGGCTTCAGTTCTCTCAGCTCTGCTCCCCCTTTTTTCGCCTGCTAACTTTCTCTTCTCCTGCAGACCTATCGCCTTTCAGCCGACAAGTGTTATGTTTGAGACTTCGAACCACGCCCAACTCCTCGAGAAAGTCGGGGTTCGACAACTCGTGACCGGTGTCATCGAGGAGCTCATCGAGCTTGCGAAATCACAGGGCTGCTCATTCCCAAGTGACTTCACCCAGAAAACAATCGACAAGATGGTTGCCAACAACTCACCTAGCACGATGTATCAAGATTTCCAATCGCGACGTCCAATGGAGATAGAGACATATCTTGGATCCCCGATCAAATTGGCGACCGAGTCAGGTGTCCAAATTCCGCGAATCGAGACACTCTACGCTGCACTTCATCACATCAACACAAACAATCTTAACAAGCCCTCAACGAATGATACTCCTCCCCCCCTGCTAGCCCAGCCACCACCCAGAATGTCTTCAGCACCTCCCCCAAGAAACGGTCCTATGCGGCCTCCTCCTGGTGGCAGGTCCGGCTCGGGCATGATGATGTTGCCTGGGCGCCGTGGACCTCCTATGCCTATTCCGGGAATGTCGAGGCCACCAAGTGCACAACCCCTCCCTCCTTCGGCCAGGATGCCACGCGAACCTTCTCTTGAGGGACTCGAGGAGTTCAGCCATCTGGTGGTATATGATGAGGTTGCGGAAGGAGGCGTGCCCCGCCAGAATGGCAGTAATGGCATGCCCGACATGCCGCCCGGGCCTCCGCCTGCAGATCTGGCCCTGAGAGAACGGGAATTGGCCCTCCGGCAGCGAGAGTTGCAGCTTCGGGAGCAAGAGATGCATATGCGGCGCGGACCTCGTAGTAGGGCAGCGCCGTCCAGAGCAGCAGCTTTCGATGAAGATGACGAGGACGATTATTTCGATCCCATGGACACCATTCCCATTCCGCATATTGACCCGGACAGCGTTGACATGATGAGCATCACATCGCGCAGGACAAGAAAAGCTCCCAGCGCGAGTCAATTCCGCAAGAATCCAGAAATCAATCTGAACGGCAGGCCCCAATCGTCCTTCAGTCGGTACCTTCCGGGTCGGAAACGCACTAGCGAGCGTATCATGCAGGAAATCCCCGGGCTTCATGATTCCTTGATGGACAACCCCATGATGGCCTACTCATCTAACCGGTACGGATCCGTTGATCGGAATCAAATACAAGCTGGGTCCCGTGCGAACTCCATGACGGCTAGCAGAATGGGTGACTACCCGCCACACCCTTATCCGCAGAGTCGGAGAAACAGCCAGTCCCCTGCTACCCCTTATGGTGGTCCCGGCCCGCGAATGGGACGACCTCCAACCGCTCAAGATCAACCTCTTGGCCCCTCTGGTCCTCACGGCGGCCATCCGTCGCCGCCTGGCCAAGTGCGGGCACCTGTTCCGAAATATCCTCCTGGACATGGTAATGCGGTAGGTCCGCAGCAAGTTGAGCAACATTATGGGGTGAGCAACCCGTATCCCGCCAAGGGCACTCCCAAGCATAGAAGTCTGACTGGAAGTGCGAGCGCCAGCGCGGAGAGTGGTGATAGCGGAGCCAGTGCGAATCTGGATTCCGAGGCTTCCGCCCATAGCAGCCAAATCAGCCTAGGCGCTCAGCAGGCTGCAATGCCGGTTCGTTAATTGGCGAGCCTTGGCCTCTCTTCTGATTCTCCTCAAGCCAGTTGTCAAGCTTTTGCCTTCTTGATTTCTTCGTGCGTCTTTGCCTTCCTGCTTCGTTTCTGCCGATGGGATTGGCGTCTACGCTATTCCGAGATACCTCATATCGAATGCTTGAATTCCACTTAGACTTGAATCAGTACAGACGCTCGCCGACGACAGAACGAGGTCAATCTCTTATAATACTCTGTTGTTGTTCGCTGCTCTACATATACACAAGGGACATAGGGGACATCTTTCCTGTTTCATCATGATTTTCGTCTCGGGGTTTCGGAGTGGTGGGGCGTGTTTCTGCGTTTGTGCTTTGCTTTGCTTTCATCTCCCTTCCCGCAGCGCTCTTTTTAATGACAACGAGTCCAAAGCTCGGCCTTCAAAAATCTGCCTTTTCCTTTTTTTTTTTTTTTTTTTTTTGACTTTCGCTGTTAAACCACTGCCAATAACAATTTTCAGTCCTTCAGCTGTGCATTCCATTTCCCCTCTGCATGACCGTCATTGTTGTACACTACCTGTACCGGCGCATTATTCTTGCAAGCAGCTTCTCATGTCCTCCATATCATCTTACCATCTTTTTTCCCCCTTTTTCCTACCTGCATGCCCTCCTTTGCGAATTTCCTTGCATCTGTTCTGAATTTTATAGGGACTGCAAAAGGTCCAGCAGCCTTTGTCACTCGGAAGTTCATGGTCTGATTTCTGGCGCATCGACAAGAGCAGGGGTTCTGACTTATCCGGTTGATCAATCGACTTAATCTGGCTGAGTTCGCGCCCTCGCGAGGTAGTCACGAGGGAAGGCAATCGTCTTCACTGTACCGGCTTCAATGAATGCTGGAGAACCGTTCGATTGAGCAACGAATTAGTACTGAAGAACACATGATTGATAGAAGGTTATCCTGCCATGTCGCGATGAGTGTTTCGAATAATCCACATGTTTGCATAAACCAAAAGACACTGAATCACAACTATATTCTCACGATAAAATGCCTTATAGAACATGTATTGAAATCCAGACCATTATTACTGGCCTTGCTCTCTTTGACTTCAATTAGACGGGGGTACTGGGTGTTTGTCCATTGATCTCCATGGTGACACGTGACCAGTCATATCCATAAACAAAGCATCGAAGTTCGCGCCGAATCCACTTCACTTCGACGGTCTCTTATCATATCATTGCGATGGAATCTACCAAATAGAACGATAATACTCCATCAGATTCTCATTTCAGCACGATTACTACGTCTACATCAAAAAAGCCAAGAAACCTACGCAACAATGCCACCACCATCTCACCAACACCACCCTTCTCAGTCCTACCCCCGCCATTCCATCCTCCCAGCTTCAACCACCGCATCGGTCTCGTCGTCAATGGGGTCGGGGATGGGAAACTCAGGCATGTCAGCCGCCAAAACCCGGCAGTATGCTCATCTGCATTCCCAGTTGGAGCAGTTGAATGCCAATCTCGCCGACACGCAGAATCTGCTCCGAATGACGGCTGTGCAGGCCGAGGATATGCGCTTTCTGGGCGGGTATGTCGGGGCTTTGTTTATGGGCTCTGCTAAGGTTTTGGGGGAGGAGGGGGTCAAGGGGAATTCGGAGTCGAGTTCGAGTTGGGGTTTAGCTTCAAGTGGTGAAGGGGATAAGGGGGAGGAGGCAAAAGTGAAGATGGAATCTTGAGGGGATTTTCGTCGTTACGGGTTGTATAGGGGTGTCAGGGTAAGTATCCTTATCCTTCTTGGGCTTTTGGATGGCATTGTAGGATGCTATGATGTGGTTATATCTGGGATCCGCTATCTATATCGTTTGTTGGGATATGCTGACCGACGCAGATGGCTTGCGCCTTGTGGGAAGATCTGCGCCACAGCCCTACTCTTCTACGACGAAACCGCCGCCGAGGATGATCGCCGGTTCGTGGATGTTATGGTGCTCGTAACTGGGACAGTCAGAAGAGAGACATCGAGAGAAGCGCCGCCACTCGGGATATCTTACCTTAATGTGCCGACTCCACCAGCTTCCAGGATCAGCGTCGTCTCCGAGAGTGGCTTTCCGGTCCAGCGCATGGCAAACGCGCGCAGGATGTGACCGTGTGCGACGATCAGAACGTCCCCTTTGCCGTCTGACGAGCCATCCAAGCATTTACTGTGGTATTTATCCCTGATCTCGGCGATCAAGGCATCAAGTCGACGAATGACGTCTTCCGGGGATCTGTTTGGTTTCACTTTCATCAGCTGCTGCTCAAGTCCTGCCACGGTAGGGGATTTCAAGCTGCAAGCTTGAATCAGAGCGGCATCATACTCTCCACCTGGACATCCATCCCTCCAGATATCCCACGACCCCTGCCCATTCTTCTCCCGCAACTCTCTGATCTGCTTACTCGTCAATCCTTCATAATCGCCATAGTCCCATTCCCGGATGGCCTCGGTGATTTCCACCTTGGCTTCCGTGCGGATGGGTTCCTCCTCTTCTGATTTTCTGTGTTCGGTCCAGGGGAGTCTCTCTTTGCAGCCGATTTCGAGGAGCTCGAGGGTACGTTGAGCGCGGGTGCGGGGAGACACGTAGCTGGTCGGTCAAGGTCAGCGTCAGGATCAGCTTAGCTTAGCTCGTCGGCGTTGTCATCTACCCCCGATTGTCTCGAGGCTCATTTTAGAAATTATAAAAGACATACACATGTACCAGCTTCTTGGGAGCGATCAGTCGGTCGTTGCCGACCAGGGCTTTGCCCGTTGCCTTGATCCGCTTCTCGCCGTTCGCTGTAAGCGGCAGATCGGTGATGCCGGTGTGCCGCCCGTTAAGGGACCATTCAGTCTCGCCGTGACGGACGATGAAGCAACGGGGTGTCATTTTTCCTCCTTGTAGTGACCGGTGTCAGTATATGATGCTTAATCGTGTGAACCCTGGTAGCAACAGAAAGTAAGTGGGAAACTCCGGTCCTGCGCTGCGGATGAGGGGCGCATTATTTAGTCCGGTGGGTAACTGCGTCATTCGAGCTCTGGTAATCAATAATCATACGGACTTGTCTGTTCCGCTACCTCTCTGATCACCGGGGTAAAAGCGATATTTAGGCAAAAGACAGGACCAGCATGATTTAGCGAGAGCCTTCTAAACGTTTATATAATGATTACTGATGATTACGATAATACGTACATAAGCTGAGTCTCCATAGGTGCGACTCTATCCCAAATTCCCAATTCCCTTGGACCTAGTTAGCAGGAACCCCATCGGTAACGGTTCCATACTCGGTGATGGTCCAGTTGCCGAAGCACGAGTACTCATATTTCGCCTTTTGCAGGCTCTGTTTCTGGACGGCCATGAAAGTGGAGAGCTCGCACCAGCCGTCATCGCGGTACTCGCATTCGTCGAAGCTGGCGTGGAGGGGCAGCGTGCGCTGGTTCTGCAGGAAGTGCACGTAGAACGTTTCGGGTGTTCCGGCGACGTAGGCGTTCTCCTGCGAGCCTGCGGGACGCCGAGCGCGGACCTTGTGCGGCGCCTGGATGATTTCGATGTTTGTGCGGCCGGCGAAGGGGACGATCTTGCTGGTGGAGAATTGCTGGTTGTGGGGCGGTCCTGTGGCGGGCAGGAACTGGGCGAACTGCTTGAAGCCGAAGGCTGTGAGGGCGGCGACGAGGCCGGCGTCGTGGGAGAAGTCGAGGTAGAGGTTCTGGTCTGTGGGGAAGGTGGCCGGGTTGGTGTCGAGGGTCATGTTTGCGCTTGTGCCTGTGGTCTGCAGGAAATGGCCTTCGACCCGGGCGAGGAATTCCTCGACCCAGGCGATGCCCATGGCGCGGCCGACGGGGCTTTGGAAGCCCGTTAGCGCGGCGAACATGAGGTCGATGGTGTAGCCGTAGTGTTCGAATTCCTTGTAGGTGAAGAGCTGGCAGAACTGGCTGTATCCGAGGCTGATGGTCTCGTAGGTGCAGAGGGACTGGGCCGTGTAGGAGTCGGTGGAAGTCCAGTTGTAGGAGCCCGACAGCTTTGCGAGCGCGGCGGTGCGCTTCTTCAGGTTAGATGTCCTTCCAAGTTGACATGGCGGAGAACGTGGAAGGGTTGGCCATGTATGTTAGAGCGCGGGTGCAAGGAGTACCGGTCAGGGAGTTGTTGAAGCTGTAGTCTTCAATTATAGGAAACAGATTGGCCTTTTCAGTCCACTCCAGACCGAAGAAGCCCGCGAGGAAGTTCTCCGCGGACTTGAGCATACGGTCCTGGGTCGTGGTGCGGACGACCAGCCTGTGGGTCGAACTCTCGTTGTACAGCTGTCCATAGTTGTACCAATTGAGAACACCGCTCTGGAAAAGTTCCTCACGACCCTTGGGGGCGAGTATCTCGGCTCCCAGACCGAATCTCCAGTCGTTGAGGAAAGACAGAGCGCCGGTGAATTTGTTCCCGGATGCAGTAGAATTGGTGATCTTCTGGGCCCATGCGGCCATGTTCTCGGAGGATGAAGGGTAACGAGCGCCATGCCGGTGTATCATATGCATTTGCGTAATCTTTGAGCCCTTGGGGAGCGCATACTCGTTCACTCCGAAGCCTTCGGCAGGTGAGAAGTAGGGGCTAGCATCATGGTGAGCCTTACAATTTATGGAATACTGCATGACAAAGCCACGCACCTCAAGTCACCCATCTGTTGGAAGATGTTGCGGCCAGCGGCTCCATCGATGGGCTCGCCTGTTTGAAGTGGCCCATTGGCAGTGAATGACTTATGTGCGAAGGTGACTGGGTTCGTTTCAGCCAGGAATTGTGCAGCGCCAGTGGCAGTAGTGCCTGTTGTTGCTTAGTCCTTGTTGCTTCGGTGTACTTTGGCTAGATGCCGTTGCATACCTTGGTAGCTCTGAGGCGTGGTTTGAAACCAGTTCGGCTCGGCGGTTGCACTGCTGGATGCAGCTGTTGGGGCAGTGGTAGCTTGGACAGCACGGGCCTCGACAGCAGCTGCATCTGCCCAGGAGGCTACTGCCAGCCAAGAAATAATGGACAGGGAGGCGCGCATTCTTCAGAAGCTCGGTGAAGGATTCTGGTGCCTTTCTGCGCATGATGAGCACCCATCTGGCGAGTGTCAGGCAATACTTATAGCCCTGCCGCTGCCATTCATCGGCCCCTTTGGTGAATATCGCCATCGCTTAGAAACATGGATACGCTTCATCCTCGCTTAGAGGTGTAGTGTTGGGGACACAAGCAAATGTGCTTGCAGTACTGGGTCTCTGTTCAGTAGTACGTATTCAACTCTGCACTATCGGGACTCGGCTGAGGGCTTCCGGGTCCATGCTGCGGTAGAGGCACGAGACGGCTGTCCTAGTGTGGATGGCATCTCATCAAGCAGCCTGCCTGTCAATTGGAGGCACGGATGCACGTGGGAACAAAAATAATGGCTTTCCGCATCGTACTCATGACCGGCCGGATTAGCGAAGGTGCCAGGCATATCTGATCTCATCTAATCACTCATCTTAAGCGAGATCCGCCTATCGATCGTGTGCCTGGCTTGACAGCTGGTGATGCGGTCTTCCCTTAGTGCACGGCTTCGTAGTCATCCGGGATTCCTGAACATGCAGGGAAATTATGATGATCGGGTTTCACGGTCATTGCCATAGCCATACTCCGTACAATTTACGGTTTGAGGCTTCCATTAATGTTGTTTAGGGCATACTCCGTCTCTGCAAGAAGTATCTGCAATACGGCGACAAGCCCGCTGCATATATTGTTGTGGACAGCCCATTACGAGATGATGAGGAAGCATCGAGTGCGTCGGTTAAACAACAAGAGTCACGCTAATATGATGAAGCCAGCCACGTGGGGGAGATAAGTGGTGTGGTTGATAGCTTCTGCCGCTACGTACTGAGGGAACTAAATTAGACCTAAGACATTCAAAGACATTTGATGATTCGAATTGGCGACTCCAGTCTACTTAAAACATCGCCAATTCGAAATCCTAGAGTTTGACTTATTTGCAACATGTTGTTAAATATGCTGATTTGGGACATCAGAAATCCTCGATGGTCTAACGGTCATGATTTCCGCTTGTCACTCAACTGAGAACGAGCGCGGGAGACCAGGGTTCGACTCCCTGTCGGGGAGATTTCTTTTTTCACCTCAATGTTTCTTTTTGCCTCCAACTGACCTGTTGTTTCACGAGGATACTCCGACAACCGGATAGATGCAGTGAAGAGGAAATGGAGATTCAATAGTTTTAAGCCTCTACAGCCCTCGACCAAGCGCACTGAACGCCCAGTAGACTGGCGGTGCAAATGGTTGTCAAGTCGAAGAGCGAGAATAGCGTCACATGACTAACCAGCTCAATGTGAGCGACATCTAATCTGATCAGGGAGTGGTGCGCAGTATTTGAGAGCAAAAGTTGCAAATTCTTTTTCTTGCATTAACAATCACAAAGGTGTTCTTTGAACTTATTAGAATCCTGACAGGCGTTGGTATAAGCTTGCTCTCAACCGTCCGTGAGTGAGAAATCTCTAGCCATATCAAGTCGCTCATTGATTCGCCATCATATTAGCAACCAGACCAAGAAATTGGGAGACAAGGCCTGTTGGCTGCCCAACAGTTAACAACATGCCGAGGAACGTGAAGAAAAATCCCAGGGATGTCACTAAGCTCTCAGGGAGACCTCTGGCCGAAACGATAGAGCCATCACCTATTCTGAAAACCCTGCAGGAGGGATGGGTTACCTCGACAGATCTGATAGAGGGAGATCTCTCCTTCACTCCGGAGGTTATTAAAAATATGACGGTTTTCCTGTTGGCGAATCCCAATCTAAATTCAAGCCACTTGTTCCGTGCGGATATTCTCCATAATAGCCTGGGCGTTCTCAGCACCCCGCATGTGAAGGAGAAAAGTCACCCGGATCATGGGAGCGGCGACACAGACAAGGAAATCAAAGAAGAAGATCATGTCGAGCCTCTTGCCGCGAGCAGTGTACCCGGATTCGAACTGAAGAGGACCATCGTGAGAAGGCTGATTCCTAGAAACAAGAAATTGGATCGGCCCCTCGAACAGACCTGTCATTTCTATGAGGCGGATGAACTCCTCCCAACGTCTACTAGTACAGATGATCCTCAGCGCGAGCAATGCGTATCGAAGGCTGAGTCGCCTCGCCAACGCTTCTTGGTCATCTACGTGCCGCACGTCTCGTCCAAGGAGGAGATGCCGTGGTACCACCCCCTGCTACGATCATTGGCCTTCCTGTATGATTTCACACCCAGCGCTTCTTTAGATCCATCCAAAGAGAAGCAAGGGACAGGGGTAATGTCGGTGCACTTCCTGCCATACGAGGAAGAACCAATCCAGAACCGTCTAGAGCGTACCCTGCTCGCGCTGCTGAGTACTCAGATCCGGCTTGCTCGTCAGACGCGCCTGGACGAAAAGCCAGAAGGAGGGAACTACAACCCGCACAAAGATAACGTGATACCAAGGCACCTCGTGCAAGACACCTACGCGCGACTTAAATTGAAGTACGCGGCGGACCTATGTAAGAATTGGGTCGAGGATACTGAGCCGAACAAGCATGTTTTCGAAGACCTCTCGATCACGGCCTTTCTTATTGAGCTGTGGAGGAGCATGTACGGAGTTGTACCCACCGATGAGAGAAGCCCGGAGCAGAAGGAGCAAGAAAAGTACGATTCAAAATTCCCCGGGTTCGTGGATGTCGCTTGTGGAAACGGGCTGCTTGTCTATGTGCTTCTCTCAGAAGGGTACCAGGGCTGGGGATTTGATGCTCGTCGTCGGAAGACCTGGAGTATATTCCCGTCGTCGATCCAGGAGAGGCTCAAGGAGGAAATATATATACCCAAGCCTTTTGCAGACGTGTGCACAGGCTCGGAGATGGACATTGGTGTGAAAACGCACACAGGCATGTTTGCAGAGAGCACATTTATCATCTCGAATCATGCCGACGAACTCACAGTCTGGACGCCGCTTATGGCTGCCCTCTCGAACCCGGCATCCCCCTTACCGTTCATCTCTATACCGTGCTGCTCCCACTCGCTCTCCGGAGCCAGATATCGCTACCCGCCGCCCAAGCCCAACAAAAAGGGTTCTGTTGACCGATCGGAAGATCAAGAGGTGGAACAGAACCCGCAACCGGCAGCCGGTGACTTGAAAGCGCTCCGGGCTGCTAAACAGCAGGAGCGCACTGATGCCGGGATGGTCAATTCCATGTACGGCTCTCTTACCGCCAAGGCAATGAGTATTGCCGAAGAGATCGGATACGAAGTGGAAAAGACGCTGTTACGCATCCCCAGCACAAGGAATATGGGCGTGATTGGCGGCCGGAGACGAATAACGCAGGAGTGGAGTACGAGGGTCCGTTCCGCACAGGCCTCGCAGACAGTCAATTATGGTGCTCACGATGCTGTTGGTACTGTTGCTGAGCAATTTCTAGAAAGAGTCATGGCGGTTGTCCAGCGTGAGTGTGCTCGAGAAGGAGGAGTCGAGGCTGCAGCGAAGATATGGATTGAACGTGCCAAGGGACTCCACAAGGGACAAGGAAAGGGCAATCAGGCTGCTCATTGATATGAGATGATGAGAGTGCGATGAAATCCAAGATACCCTGCAAAAGAGCCATTCATTGATTCTCGTGTTTAAGCTCCGAGTCATACTGTAACTTCGTTGAAGCTTTAGCCATGGCGTGGGCAAATCCAGCAAAGAGGCATAAGGGCCATTTCCCAACCCGCTCACCGGAGTTATTTCCTGTCCAAGGTCAGTATATAAGCGTGGAATTGATCGACATCCCCTCATAATTCTCCTTCCGAGCAGCCCATGCACGCCCCGCGGGGAATAGGATAGATATGAGGAAGCGGGGGATATCCCCGAAGTTTCTCCATCTTTGATGACGATCACTGCTCATATGTTGTCATATCCAGCTTCTGCCAGGGATACTAACCACTTCATGCACACTTTAACGCATGTTTATTGTCCCGCTTCTCCAGTTCGAGGAAATTCTACGGCGCAAATAGGCTGTAGACACGGAGAAACACCGTTCTGGTTAATTGCTTTCCCTGTTCATGCGGGGGAGCCGGAGATGCATATCCAGGGATATAAAATCCAGAGACAAGGGCGATGATGGAAGAATAATTGCAATTGCCAATTACTTCCAGGTGTGCCCGACAATAATTGTTTTCCTGTACATACTTTCGTCGCTGTGCAATGGGGCTCGCGTCGCTGCTGCTCTCCGCGGCGCTCTTCGGCCTCAAGGTCTCTGCATTGAACAATGGCTTAGCTCAGGCACCGCAGATGGGATGGGTAAGCCATCAGATGCTTTTTCCGGCTTGTACTAGGCATGCAGAGATAGATGACTTACACTTTCGTTCCTATACAGAACACCTGGAATTCGTTCGCCTGTGAACTCAATGAGACAGTCATTCTCAATGCCGCCGAGAGGATCGTTTCTCTTGGCTTCAGAGACTTAGGATACGACTATGTGGTCATGGACGACTGCTGGTCGGCCGGTCGGAACTCGTCTGGCTACCTCATCGCCGACTCCGACAAGTTCCCCAATGGAATTGCACACCTCGCAGACAAAATCCATGAGTTGGGGCTGAAAATCGGGATCTACTCCAGCGCTGGAAGATGGACCTGTGCTCGGTACGAGGGATCGCTCGGGTACGAGGAGAAGGATGCGGCCCTCTGGGCGAGCTGGGGTGTATGCTTCTCTCCCTTCCCCTGACATTGTCCAAGACTGATAGCAGCAACCCTCCCCCCAGATCGACTACCTCAAATACGACAACTGCTACAACGAAGGCGAAGAAGGAACCCCCAAACTATCCTTTGACCGCTACAACGCCATGGGAAAGGCCCTCAATGCAACCGGCCGCCCAATTCTTTATTCCCTGTGCAACTGGGGCGTCGACGGGCCCTGGAACTTCGCCCCAACCATCGCCAACTCCTGGCGCACGACAGGCGATCTGGCCAACGTCTGGGACCGCGACGACGTCAACTGCCCCTGTTCCGAACTGGAGGGCCTGGACTGCAAGCTGCCTGGGTACA